ATCTCATACACAACAGAACAATTGACTTTTGTATACAAAAAGTCTTCACTTAACATCACTGATAGAAACTATAAGTTTAAGTGAAACAATGTATAACAAAATCAATTTTATCATAAGCTAAATGATATAAAAAAGTAAAGTTCCTGTGGCATATTTCTGGTCACAAAAACATCACAAAACTTCTAAAAAAAGACCCAAAACACTTCTGAAATTAATCATTTAAATAAATGTAAGCTATGAATACAAAGAAGCAATAAATTCTTTTTCAAGCTTCATTCTTATTCCAGCTCTGGGTCATGGTGGGTGGAGCTTATCCCAGCAGCTCAGGGACCAGTGTGGGAATGCCATTTCATCACAGTTTGCACACTCACAAACACACACTCACTCATATTGGAACAATTTAGACACATCAATTCACTTACCATGCATGTTGTATCTGGGACATGGAAGGAAACTGGAGTACCCAGAGATAACAATGGAAAAACCCTGAAAACTCCACACAGACTATATCTCCAGCTAGTAATTGATTTTTTTCTCATTAACGTATAATGAAACATCTAATGAAATGATATTCTAGGACTCACTGTATTAAGCTTGTCTCCTCTTACTTTGTGATAATTACTTATTAGTTATATGATAATTTTATTGATTCTTTGGAACTGTCTACATAGACAAAAGACAAAGACAATTTTATATTTTCCTCTTTAATCTGTATGCTTTTTGTTTTATTTTCTTGCCATTTTGCACTAGGTATGACAGTGCGAAGGAACATTCTTGCTTTGTTCCAATCTTGGAGGGAAAACATTCAATTGCTCACAACCCCCTCCCTGTTTACTACCTTGCACCTTGATGTTTTAGTTTCTTTGTTTCTTTGATCATAATTCACCATCTCTTCCAGGGCTGTTTATAACAGAAAAGACAGTGGGAATCAGAGATACATTCATTTAATCATGATTTGGATTTTAGTAAAGTTGATTTATATCCTTTGCATTTGTCTTCTCATTCTAAATTAGAAAAAAATATTGCCTATGACAGTGAGCTGGTGTGATGATTATACATGAAAATGTTTGAAGAAACTTTATTGAACACCTAATTTTGATTTAGGGCATATGCTACATACTTGGAATACAGCTGTGAATAACACATAGGATTAGCTCTCTGAAAACTGTAGTGGAAAATAAATTAAGGAAATAGAATATTTTAACATATAATTGTATGTCCAATGAGAACTATAAGTTTACAGAGTAGCTGTAATAATTAGAAGCTACCACCATTATTATTGATTTAAAGTTTCTTTACTCTTCCTGGGTTATCAAACAGAGCTAATGGCATTCCCTAGCTCTTTTACTACATTTTTTTCATTTCTATCAAATAAAATTAATAAATACATTTCTCCATTTGATGATCTCTCTAGATTCTGCATTGTCCTCATTTCTTTCTTTTTACATATGTATCTCAAAAATGTTTATGCCTTGGATATATAATACCTACATTTTTTTTGTTTGATAACATGGATATTTTAGTTCTCATATAGTTTGTATAGTATAGAGAGAACTTCAAATATAAGATAATATTCTAGAGAGCAGTTAGAATTATATTTTTAGATCAAGCAGGTTAAATAATTAAAGTAAGCTTTTTCATAAGATTAATTCTGATTATCCTGGCATGCAGCACATTATTACATAGTCCAAAATTATTTAGGACTTCATCCTTTACATTTTGTAACAAATAGGAAGATTAAATAAATATATTTATTTATGTGAGTTTATCTGAACACCCGCCTTAATTTTGTGTTTTAAATAATAAAATAATTGATAATACCATGGTTTTCCAAAATAAAGTACTTTGTTACTAGGCAACAGTTTTTTGATGCTGAAGAAAATATGTTAACTATATATAAATATAACTAAATATAAACCAGCTTTTTAATATTCTCTGACTTATGAGGTGAACAGCTGAAATAATTTATTAGCATTTTGGAGGGTGAAGGACAGAAACACCAAATATGGAGAGGTAGAAAGGTGACAGAGATCATAAGTAACAAGAATATAATTGGGGAGACTATCAGCAAGGTGCTACATTGAGAACAGTTACTTGTCTCTTTATTCTTCTTGCTGCCTGTGGTAACCAATTTAATATTTTGGCTTTAAAGCAAGATGTAATTTGTCTTGCCTGTCTGTCTTAACTTTCTCAATAGTAAGCTAATGAAGCAATAGTATATAGTGGTGGTAGCTGGGGTTTGCATATATATGTGTGTGTGCTCATGTTATTAAAAAATATCAAAATAAGTGCTGCTTCTGAGACTTTCCAAAGTTTCTCCTGACTATTCACTCTCTCCAAACTCCTGTCTAAATCAGTAATTTTGTATTGGATTTGGAATATGTTCTTAATTTTCTCCACCAAAGATTGGAAAGCAGTCTTGTAGAGAGTGAATAAAGGCATTGCAGGGACCGTTGACCACCCCAGAATGCTTGTTCCTTCAAAGAAAAGCAGTGTTTCAGCACATATATGGCTACTTGATAGAATTTACCCACCAGGTGGCCCTCTGGGCTAATGATTGCTATGAAAAGTATCAGAAAAATTTAGGTGGTGGTATTTGCTAATTAAAATTAATTTACTTTGAAATTTTTATTTTAAGACAGTTATGTGAGCTTCTGAGCTAAGTTCATCATTGGTTTTAATTCTGTTTTAAGGAATTAAGTATTTATTCCATACAGAAAAGGAATTAAGAAAATAGCTCTGCCCTCCAAGAACATCACTTTAGTTTGATGGGCACTATTGTGAAAGTAGTTTGACTCTCTGTTTTGTAAGAATGAAGATAGTCAATTAGTTCTTCAAACCCTGAGTCTGAGTCTTCCAGTATTTGAGCTACTCTGTGAGGTAAATATTGGGACATGAGATGGAAAATCTTATTTAGATATTTATGGAATTATTAAGTAAAAAATTCTGTCTAGAATTGTAGATTGTATGTGTGTTAGTTGATTAAGTTTCTACTATATGCCAAGGTCCTTCACAAATATTAATCCTCAAAACAAAACCATTACTGTATATTATTTATTATGATTTTACAGATTTGGAAATGAAGACACAGAGGGCTTAGTTAATTTGTCAAATACTTTAAATTGTAAATATTTGAATCATTAATAGAGCCTCTGACTTTAATTCCAAAATTGTTTGTATTGTACAAGTTTCCTTTAATTAATCTTTTAATGGAAAATAATAAAAATTAATTAATTTAACAGGTTGACTTTGTTTAGTCAATAAAAGTACACTTCCAAAAATATTTAATTTATTTTAAATTAACTTTTCCATATTTATAATGCATGTGTTCAACTTTTTTTGCTTTTGTGCATGCAGGTATGTTTATTTATAAATTTTGCAATATAAATTTTAAAACAATGCATCTTCTCATACTTGTGACACCACCAATGAAAAACAATATGAGTCTGTTTACAAATTTTAAAAGAAAGTTTATAGTGTTATTTAATATAGCATTCAATATGATGTCGTATGTTTTAAGTCACTTTGCATAAGTTGTACAGCATCTATAAACTCATTTGCATAAACATAAGTTTAATGTGGGCTTGAAAACATGATTAGATGACTGGTTACAAGAGTAAAATTTTAAATGCTTTTAAAATAGACCAAATTAGCACATGTTCAAAAAGAATAAAATTTATATTATTAAATGCTACTCATTGGCATTAATATTTTTTAATATATAACAGTCTCCAACTAATAAGGCTTATTTTAAATTAAAAATAAATAACAGTTAATAAACCTTAATTTCTTGTATGACAATCATGTTCTTTAAGCATTGCTTTGTTTTTATTTATGAAATATAAATATTTGGTTAAAATTAAGGTAGTGTGTAACTTCTCAAATTGATGGCATTCATGCTGTTTTAAAATATTTAAAAAGAGACACTAGAGGCACACATTTTTTCAAATTTTCTCCTGGTTCTTTTCAAATGATGTTATATGTATTCCATACAGCCCCTCTAAAACCAGGGAATAAAAGAGAAAATTCATCTATAAAAAAGAGAGGAGCACTTGGATTTGGAAATAGAAAATATAGGAATAGAAATGCAAATAGATTAGGCATTTGTAAAATGCAGGAAAAAGATGACAAATGTCTGTAGCAGGTACAAGGGGAAAAAAGTGGTGTCTCACATCTTTATGGATAGGAAAAATTTCAAGAAGATAAGTTATAAACAAATGGAGAAGCTTGCAAATAAAAGCTTTTAGCCTTTCTGCATGGTTCCAGAATATGCATTATGTAGAGATCAGTACCCTAAAACAGAGTATTATCAATTTAATACTTGAGATTAAAAAATTTGGTAAAATGTGGCTCCTTGTGGTTTTTTTTTAATTTTCATATACCAATGATTGAATTATTGTTTCCAATGTGGGAGGAAAAGGAATTGGTTTTGAAAAGTGATAATTCCATTATCTTTATTAGTTAGATGTAAAACACTTGAAAGAATAAAAGGAAAGCAATTATTTTGAACCAGGTTTATTTGCACTAGCAATCCCAGAAATACACATGAATCATTTATGTGCTGGGAGAGCAGCCTCCAAGCTATGCTCTCAAATCTCCACAAACATATGACTTGTAGTGATCGAGATAAGAACTTAGTTGAAAGATAATATTTATCATTGACATTGAGTTACTTTGATGTAACTAGAACCTCATCATTTCTTAGGCAACAAGAATACGTAATATGAAAATGAGAAAAGATTTAAAAGCTGATTCCAAAATATGTCCAAAAAATCATTGAAAGGAATTAATTTTACAAGGTTAGCTGTTTAATAGCACTGCAGTCATTTTATCTTGTCAAATAAATTATTAATGTTTAATTTTAAAATTATAAAACACTCCATTTATTGCCATATTTGGAGCCTCTATATATTTAAGAGTAAAAACAAAACTTAAAGGAGGAATATGTTGTGCAACTACAGTTTTATAAAAAGCTAACCACTTAAAATCCTGTCTTGCAGGAAAGAACCGTGACCATTAGAAGACAAACTGTAGGAGGATTTGGATTAAGCATAAAGGTAGCCAGTCTTTCTAGTCTATTCTTACAAAAGGCATACTATATTGCTGCATTGTTTATGTATTTTAATTTTGGGAATATTAATAATTAGACAAGCATGACTGTGACTCCTTAATATCTGGACTGAGATGTAAGCTAAGTAGGTCCTCATAGACCCTTGGTCACTTTTGGATTTAGAAATTTTACAAAAGTATTTGGGAATTTTAACTCATCTGGCATTGAATAATACTAATTAATTATCTTTTGTACCTGCTTTCATTTAAATTAACAAGTATGGTGTTTGAGTGTGCATATCATCTTTTAACCAAACAGTAGGAAATACTGACCTGTTGGTGAATGTAAACAGAACAAGTTCTGTCTAATGAAGTCTTATGTAAGTTAAGTATTAATTGTATTATTTATATCTTTTTCTTTTGTTTAGTCTTCATTTTTATTTAAGAAAAGAGTAAAATCTCGTGTTACATTGCCAAATATATAGGATAGGTTTGAAGTTTAGCATTCAGGTTATTATAAAAACTATCATCTTTTTATTTCCATTTATTAGAATTTTCCTCAAAATTTATTTTAATTATTCATATTTTATTGTATTTTCTCCATTACTACTTATCTCCCTTATACCTTCTTCCACCTCCACCCACTTCCCCTCAAAAAAATATCACCACACTGATGGTCTTTTCTTTCTGTTGTTGACTATTAAAGATGTACTACACCTGCAATTTATCATCTTGAAGACAAACAGAAATTTTAAAATGATGGGAAATTATATAAATATTGGGAAAGTTAACTCAATGACTTTAAAATACTTTTTAGAAACCTACATTTTTAAGCAGATAATTGAAATTTATATTGACCTTGATGGGTGGGCTAGGCATTTTGCTTTTGTAAGGTGAAAATCATACACCTGAAGCATATGTTTCGTGAAATTTTAATACAGCTCAAGTTATATATGCTTGAAAATTAGAACTCAAAGTTTAGTGGCTCTAAACTATGGCTCTAGTTGATGTTATAAAAATGTCTCAGAAAACTGATCAATGTGGAATACTATTATGCAGCCAAGTAATAAAAATATTACTATATAAGTGTTAATTTTAAAATATACTTGTACTTCATCTGTCATCAACTAAGACCAGGGAGACACAGAGAACAAATTATAAGATTTAAGTATGGAGATGATGTTGTGGCAATTCTAAGGTTCAATAGACAGGTTCTTATTTGTTTGCTTTTGTCTTTTACCACAATAATTATTGAGAATGCTGTCAAGATTTTAACGGTATGACTTAGGAAGTCCATGAGGAGACCACAAAAACTGAGTGTGAATAAAGTTCAACAGTGAAAGTAGGTTTCATTTTAGATATGCATTTTTATCTAACCTGCATTGACTCTAATTCTGAGAGTGGAGCAAAAAATGTTATTCCTTTTTTCAATTTCAATTTATAATTTAAACCTAATAAGATGTTGTTATTTAGTTTTAGTAAATTACCACATTTTAACCTGGCCAGTTTTTAAGTATCAAGAATTCTGCCAAAAGAATAATTTCAGCTTAATGATTTCATTATTTCAATGCAAGTAAAACTTTAGACACGTAAAAAATACAGTAATTTTCAAAATTCCATGTATGTATGTTGCTTTCAAAATATTGGCCATAAAAGTAGCACTTGATCTGTGATTGTTGCCATGTTTTAGGAAGTTAAACAAAAAGGAAATTATCTTTTAAAAAATTTATGACATACAAGCAAACCAGAAATATAAGCATCAATAGATTTATTTAGAATATTACTTATTTATTGTGAAGCTAAATGACTAATATTAGACCTTTCCACTTTGGTTTTCTCAGTACTTGCCACTGATCTTTGCTTTTCTATTTTCTTCTTTTAAATTTTAGTTTTAATCCTCACTTAAGGATATGTTCATTGACTTCAGAGACTGAGAAATATTGACGTGAGCACTAACTGGCATGGCTCAGTTGGTTGGGCATCATCCTGTAAACCAATAGATAGCCAGTTCGATTCCTGGTCAGGAAACGCGCCTGGGGACCCATTTCAGTCTATAGGACAGTGCTCCAACCAAGTGAACCACACTCTACTTTAAAAAATTTATTCTGTTACTGTATTTCTTTATTTTGAACTATTTTATTCTGTTATTATATTTCAAAATATGATTACTTCTTTATTTAAAATAGCAATGTTATTGTACAAATCCTTCTTCCTTTTATCTTGTCACAGGTAAATTAGAAAAAATACTGGGTTTATCTATTTGCACTATTTTCTTTAGATCTGAGAATCTAAAATATGTGTGTTATATACTTTGATATACTTCATAATATTAAAAGTTTTATATTATACAACTTTATATAATATTTTATGTTATAAACTACATATATGAAATGAACAGCTTAAGAAATTTTTTTAATCCAGAGTTAATATTTTAGTGTTGATCATTTATCTATTTGTTGCTGACTAATTTCAATTAGCAATAACTATGCACATGAAGATATATATTTTATTCTTATTTGGTGCAGTTAAGTAATCACTGCTGGCACACACTGGAGGTTTTGTAGTGAAGATTATTATTTAAAATCTCAAATATCTCAGCTAGATATACCAGAAGGAAGAAGAATGTATGGTAGATGATTGAAAGGCTTTTACCAATATAGCTAAGACTCTGACAGGTGTTCCTGAATTTCATTGTACTCAGAACATGTAATACTGTTATTTCAGGTTTTCCTTCCCAGAAACTCTTTTAAAAATCTTGGCTTAGGGACAACAAAATGTCCTTTCCAATCAGAAAGCATTGAAAGACTTTAGAATGTGCTGTTGGAAGACAAGGCTTGTGGCTATGCTACATTCTCCTGACAAATCTTGGCTTCTGGGAACTTTCTTGCAACTTTCGCCATTGCACATGGCAGTAATTCTTCAGGTATCCCAGGTGATATAGCCAGAACAACTTTGTATATAGCATCTATTCGAACGCTTTTTTCAAAAAAAGTTTTTATTTATTTTTAGACAGAAGGGAATACAGGGAGAAAAAAAGGGAGAGAAACATCAATGTATAGTTGCCTCTTGTATTTCCCCAACTGGGGACCTGGCCTGCAACCCAGGCATGTGCCCTGAATGGGAATTGAACTGGTGACCCCTTGGTTCACAGGCCGGCACTCAATCCACTGAGCCATGCCAGCCAGAGCAATGCTTTCTTTATTAACATTCCTCAGTGTTTATAGTTTTGCGTAGTATGATGTTCCTGATGCTATCAGTGTCCATTAAGCCTGTATCATCTGTCCATGTACAACATTATTTTCCCTCCCAAACATTTTCTCTAGCCAGAGATTCCCCTGTACGGGTGTGAAATAAAAGTCAGACTTTGCCTTTTTTATTTTATCTATCTTATTCATTGGACAGCTTTGAAACTTCTGGAATAAAAATTGTGTAGGTGTCTCTGAGGGTGACATAGTTATATGTCTCCACAATTTAATTCTAAGTCTTCTATTTGACATCTTTCCTTGAAGACCAAATGCCAGATATGACATTGTGTGCAATGAGGAGGGTACTCATTTCAAAATTTCCTAAAATCCTAAACAATAAGAGAAGAAATAAATTTAATAAAAATGAAAAAAAATATTGACTTAAATGATAACAATATGATTTAAGTAAGTTTTATTCACTTTCTTTTCAGATTTTATCTACTTCCCTTTCTATTATTAGTTTGCTTTTTAACCTTAAATTGTTTAGTTTGTATATGAGAATTTTTAACAAAATCTGAGACTCTCCTGTGAAAATTATAATTATTATTTTAAAAATTATGTCCAAAATCCTTAATAAAACACTCATCCAAGAATTTTTAAATCAAATGATTGATATTTAATATGGAAATCACAAATTTATCTTCATAGGCAAACTTGTATAGATTTCTGAAATGCCATAATTTTATAAAGATTACTTGACTATGGAAAGGTAGAAAGCAAAATTATCTATATGTTCATGTTATTTCTCAGTTAAGGGGAAAAAACACACAGAGCCTAAGACCAATGGATACGTAACAGATTTGCACTGGTGCTGCAGGTGGGAAAGCAGATGCCCTGAAGAGGAGATGTCACATGCAAAGCTCACATTCTTGCTCCCACTTTTCCATTCTCTGGTTAAGATGAACTATTTGTCTTCAGTTTGTAAAATTGAAAGGAATTATTTTCAAACCCTAAGAAGTGTGTGCAATCACAGATCATAGCTTTCTAGTCCCATGGTATAGTTATTCAGGAACAAACATATATATATAAGGAACATATATAGAAGGAACAAACATATAACTGAACCACAGTGCAATGAAAATGGGCATGGCATACAGGCACTGAAACCTGGCCCGGCCCTCTCTTGTGTTTAAGTGACCTTTTATCCACAAGCCCCAACTCTACAACCTCAAAGAAAAGAGAAATGATTGTCAGACTTTGCGATCAGAAACTTAACCATGAACCAAGTCTAGTGCTTTTTGCACTGTGCTCACTCCTGTTCTCAGTTATCCAGGAAGCCTTGTTCATTTTAAGCTATTTTTAATCTTGTGTTGCTTTCAGAGCCACTCTTGTATTTACCATAACTTTGTGCCTTCTTTGATTTAAACATCCTTCAGAAGTCACAAACTTGTGTGTATGTTTCATGTATTAGTTTTCGAGAACTTTTTTGGTTGCTCCCCAGTAAAATGTCAAGTTCTTCTATTTATATTTTAAGTAGGATCCATAGCATCCAATATTTTATATTTTTCATCATTCTTCTTATAGTGATTATCATATGGATAATCATCTTAAAGTAGGCAACCATCTAGACCTTATGAAACTTTTATTTATCTTCTATATATTTTTAAAATACAATATCATGCATGCATATTTTTAAAATAACACTTCTGGTCTTCTGGTACTTATTACTTTTAAAAATTCACCTTTTAGAGAAATGGTATTTTGAATATCATTACTGTAAAATTATTTTATGGTGCATTTTCCAAAAGACAAGTTTTCTGTAA